ATAAGACTGAACTTTTTACATTATTCAGAAGAGAGGGGCTCTTTCCTCTGTAATGGGGTATATCTAGGGACTGGTAAATTAATCCTTGTTTACTTATATCTTCCTGCTGTTTTGCTAAATACAAACAAAGTACTCCTCTCAAGATGCATTAAGTATATCAGCATGTTGTTTGTTTTATAACCTGGGAGAAAGCATAACAATATAGCTTCTCACCAGGGTGCACACAGTCTACAAATTGAATAAAAGGAAGCAAACTGATTCTCAGAACACGGAGCTTCTGGGTAATCTGAATTGCAGATGCTTGAGTGAATGTTAAAACTCCTCACCATCAATCTGACCTTGTCCTGTCTTATCATTGAAAATGCTTTCTTGAAGCTGGATGCACTTTGGGGGAGAAACTTGAAAGAAATACTGAAAAATACATACTTGGGTGGACTAGAGCAATGTGCCATTTTTGTGTCAAACAGTTTTAGCTAGGAAAACCAATACCAACCTCAAAAGATAGTAATTTTATAAAAATGTGAATATATTTCAATTTCTAAATGTTACACAAAAGACCAAAAAGGATTGAAGCATTTAATGTGACTGAATCGGAACATTCAGTTTCATCAAGAAAATGAACAAGACATGAATTCCCCTTCCCTGGAAGCCAGCTATGAGCACCACGTAACTCATACAGAATACAATACTAGCAATGACCTTGTTAAATCTCTAGCTGCTGCCCCTCATACCCCCTGCATCTTAGTGTTGGGATTAAACATGTCTCATGCTAGGGAGACCAACAAGAAATTCCCCCAAGTGGTTAGAAGTGGTATGATGAATTATTAGAGGTTACTGCAATGAAAGAAGTTTGGATTCAGCTCCCTAATCTGGCTGAAGGGAAGGCTGGAGGAAGAAACCGATTTGTTCCTTGTTCATCTGGTAAATGGTCACTTCTCTGTTCAAGACAAGGCAGGGAAAATCTCTGCAACCTCATTTTTCTTCCTATTTTTATCCACAGATGTGGCATGAAAAAAGTGATTGTACCTGAGAGAGATGCTGCTGTTGCTTAGCGTCTACGAAGTTCAGGAGAAACCCCAACTCCCTTTCATCTTTCTTAGCCAGGATGCTGAATGAGCGAGCTGCCACTGGCATGTTTTTCTTCAGCTGCAGCACAGCTAGTCTTGCACTAGCAAAGTCATCAGTGAGACAGTGGCCACACGCCTCCTGAAGGTGAGCGAGGGCCTCTTCGTACCATCCTGTTGGTTAACACCAGTACAAGCAATATAACCCATTCCATGTGGAGAAAGAGACATCAAGAAAACTTATTAAAGCAGGATTTAGGTAGCCTGTCCACAGCCCACATCTAAGGATATTAATTACTTCATACCCTTTCCCAAAATATTTGCAAACCTTTCTCTTGAAAAGTACTACACAACAATACGCTTGCCAGTTAACATTCACTTTCTTTTAATTTATTTCTCATTCCCTTAGTCTCATCAGCCATGGGAACTCACCGTTTGCAATCAAAACATCTGTGTAGAAGATGTGATATTGTGAATCCTTGCAAATTTTAATTAGTGCTTTTGCAATCATAAGAAGGTCCCTGAGTGTTTCTTCTTTTGAAAGGTCTTCAGTAGCAACAAGCTCAGTTAACACAGTCCTGCCATGCTGAAGAAGCCATTGAGTGATCAACCCTTGGGCTTCATGCTTTAAAGACAGGATTGCTGGGATCACTACTCCTGCCTCCACCTTCAGTGCTGAGACCAAATCTTGCACTGCCTCCTATATAAAGACAAGACCAAAAAATGAAATGGTAGCAATAACTATGTATTGATAATTTGTTCTTTCAGGTGCTTTCAGTTCTCTGTGGTCCCACAGGTCAGCTGCACACCTTTGTAAGCTCTTTGCTCTTCCCTGTCCTTGTGCCGCATCTTTTCCATTTGCAAAGCTGATACAAGAACAAAAAGACAGGTTTGAATGACTATTTGTGTTTTGAAATTCTCAGATTATCATTGAAAAAATTTCTTAAAGCAACAAGAAAGAAATGCTGTGAATGAGTAAGTGCAGGCAGGATTTGGCTCAGCTGTGTGAACCTCATGAGGTTCAACAAGGC